ATATAAAATATTTGATCTCAAATCCAAAATGCTAGAGTATAGAGCCAAATTAAAAGTTTTAGCTGCACTGTCCAAATAAATATGTACAGTAGTGTAGTATGGGAAAGGTAGTACAGTAGTAATACAGCAAGACACACAAACTCCACCAAACTCCATACACCATACATGCACATTATAACAGATACTTCATGTTAGTACAGCACTATCCCGGAAGAACAACTCAGGAGAAGTGAGAAGAGTAACCGCTTCACTCAACTTCCTCTTTTAACTGTAGTCTGAGGTGAGCGTACAGGCAGAGAAAAACACAGCAAAAAAATATGAAGAAAAGACCAGGCGTAGTGATCTGTCCTTACAGTTGTCACCGGTGGCAAGGACAGTCACTTCCGCTGGGAAGACAAAGGACGGACACACAGATGGCGTTGAACACACCTGGACAGGTCGGTAACTATGGAGACAGCTACAGGTAGACAGAGGAGTGCCATCCTGAAGTATGTTTATACATCTCCTGCTGTACTACATGTTTATGCTTATTTGACATTTACTGCATTGATTGATAGGAACTAAGAACATAAGAATTTCGCTGCACCCGCCATAACACCTGGTAACTGTGTATGCTACCAATAACATTTGATTTGATTTTATTAGATTTTGAGCTTCAGGTAGCACTCGCCCTTAAGAACAAACCTAGGATCAGCTTACCCTCACTGAAATCTCCCCATAACCATTGGGTAAATAATTAAGGTTAGGATTTGGGGGTGGGTAATCTGATCCTAGATCAGTGCCCAAAACCAACTTCTGCTTCAAGGAGCAACGTCTAGGAGCTACATCATTCTACTCCTTTCCATGACGATAGTGAAAATGTGAGAGGTGAAAGGTTGGGGTGTCTGGGTGTGGCTCACCTTGACGTCGGAGAAGAACATCTTGAGCATGTTGGAGCTGGGGTAACGAGCGTAGAAGAACATGAGCTTGGCCTTCTTCAGGTGGTTGGGGGAGAGACCCTCCTGGATCTGAACATGGCTGCCGTCAAAGAAATTGACTCTTTTTTGGAGCGAAAATAGTCATTAAAATGGCCGACCTTGCAAAGCGTCTTAATGTGTAGTCATATAGTTATGGTACGCAACTTGACCTAGAACCTATGCTATTTCAGTTGATGTGTTTTTAATATATAACATATGTGTAATTACCATGTATTTAATGTACAATAATTAGTCACTTAATTGTTTTCCTTGAAGACTACATTAGATATAGGCCAAAGTAATACATTTCACAATCATTATCTTAGGTTAGCAATAGCACTGGAGTAAGGTAGGGCCGATCTTAAATTAGTTGTTAGTTATTAGGGAGTAGTGAGTGAAGCTGGGCCAAGCCATTTGCTTGCGATTAGCATCTTCTCTGTATTAGGTGTGAGCGTGTTACGGTAAATAAAACGTTGGCCAGCGCCACAGCCGATGTCTTTACATACGGAGCTCATTTCACAGTCAAAGTAAGCAAACGCCTTTCCCTCTTCCCCCATCATACCCCCTCCATCCTCCACCCAAAAAAAGGAAGAAAAACGGATACATTTGCATATCACAGACAAAGAAAGCAGTTAACACTGGTTATGAGAGAGGAGCCTAATGGCTTGACGATAAGATATGCCAACCAAAGACAGGAGCTACTGACGTGATGTAGGCTTCATATTGATGTAAAAGCAAGGTCTAAAAGGGACAACCCTGACGAGCTCGCTAAGTCCCCTGTCTCTCTATAACAGAGCTGTAGACCTTATTCAATTAAAATACACACATCATAGATTTTGGAGACCAAGGTTTTCCAAGGGAAGGTGGGGGGGGGGGCACCTTGAACGATAGAGCTGTTCCAACCTCAATTACACCCCCTCCTTCCCCTGCGCCTCCTCCAGCCTCCAGCCTCCCTAGTGCTGCCAAACATTGGGACAAGGAGGAGGAGGAGGAGGAGGAGGAGGAAGAAGAGGGGCTCCAAGGCAGTGAACCCAGCCAGCGATGGGCACTGCGTCCCTGGAACACATCTGCGCTGCGGACTGGCCCAAACCATTTCCACGGTGAATTAACAGACGTATAATTCAGCTGATATCAATCTGGGGCTAAGATATTGAAAGGAGATGAGGGGGGAGGGGCACAAATAAAACAGAGCCGAATTAAAAAGCTCTCTCTCCTCGAGTAGAAGCAATCAGCAGTAACTATTATCTCTTGAACCGAAAATGAAAGGGCTACTCTGTAAGTCTGTATGTAAGACGATGTCATACTACCGATTAATTGTGAATTGCACATTTATATAGCTATGGTTGCACCTTTTAATTAGATACTGTTTCTACACGCAATAATGGGGTGTCATGACAATCACTCAAGAATCAGGGGTTTGACACAGCAGCCCAGTCAAGGAAGGTATGTATTGGGAGATGGGAGTGCCCTTGACTTCAGGGTTACCCAAGGCCCCCCTTTAAAAACCAGGGACCGTGAACCATGCTGGATCATGGATCAGGTCCTCAAGGCCTTGTATTGTCTGCTGGCTCAGGGAGAGGAAAGAGAGAGAGGGCTGTATGGAGGGCATCTATAGGCAGCCAGGGAGAGAGAGGGGGAAGGAGGGAGGGAAGGAGAGAGGGAAAGAGGGAGGGAAGAGGGCCTATGGGGAGAACCCTGGCAGGCTAGCCCTACTCCGACAGGCCTGGCCAAAAGAGCAGCACTCCACTCTCCACACCACACCATCTGCTTCAAGAGCAAGGGATACAATGGCCCCTCAGAGAGAAGAGAAAGAAAGAAAGAGAGAGAGAGAGAGAGAGAGAGAGAGAGAGAGAGAGAGAGAGAGAGAGAGAGAGAGAGAGAGAGAAGAGAGAGAGGAGAGAGAGAGGAGAAAGAGGCATGGGCAGAGTGGGACAGGGCTGTTCTCTTCAAGTATGGCAAGGTGGATTTCTGCTGTCAAGAAACAATCATGTCAGACCGATAAGACTGGGTTTTCCCAAAGCGACTACTACGCTCTCGCTTCTAAATCAAAATGAATTCACAACTAAGGACAATCACAACATTACAAGAGATTACATGTATATATAATTAAATAAAGTATGTTTAAATCGCATAGATCTACAGACACAGGATTCTCTTGATGAATTAATTTCTCTCACAGCTTGCAAATGTAATAGTGATTGGACTTGGGGTGACACACAGCTATTATTTAGCCATGAAGGTTCCCTTGTACCAGCTGGCCTAGTGTTATCTGAGCACATCTGACAAGATATCATCATTCACTACAGCACTTCCCCAAAACCCCAAAGTCATGAGAGGAAATAGATGCTCCACTTCCTCATTCCAGGTGTAATGACAAGATACTCAGTCGGAGAACAAATGAGGAAATTGATGGCAGCCATCTGCTGTGGAACGCTGCGGAACGCTGCGGAACGCCGGTGAACTTTAACGCACCACCCACAAAATGCCTGACAATCTATGCCGTCTTTAGTTATAGTACTACAATGACTTCTAGCACTACTATTACTATTGCATTAAGAATACCAACTGTCACTTTAGACAGTAGGACTCACAGTCAAAGTCATAAAAAATAACATTTATTGTTAACTTCTAAAACTGCCGTGAACAATCAACACCCAACCAGTGTATTTCAAAGCTGTGAAATTATGGAAATTTAAAAAAGGTGTAACACATGGCAGTGTTGTTCTAACTAGTCTTTCCATTAATGGGAGTACATCTGTTAATGCCCCAAAATGATTACCACCACAATAGAAGCAACAGCATCTGGCTTATGTGGTTATTGTTTTAATTGTTATATTCTCTCTCTTTCTTTCTCTCTCTCGCTCTTTCTCTCTACCTCTCTCTCTACCTCCCTCCCACGTCTGATTCTCTCTCTCTCCTTTCATCCCTCCATTGGGAGCAACAGAGCAGCAGATTATAGATCTCTGGGAAGCGCTAACTCTTGGGTCAGAAGACAAGACAAGGTGCCGTAATGAAAGGCAAACAGCTCGCCGAAAACACCTGTTAACGTCCGCTTCAAAAGAAAAGACTGGGAGGGAGAGAGAAAAAAAAGAAGGAGTATTTGGGTGCCAAGCAACAGCCGAAGGCCCCCCAGGCTGTTGACAGATCTTTATGAAAAGAGAAAAGGAACGACGCCGATTGTTCCTTTTTACAATGTGGGGATGATAAGAGATAGGCCAAAACACAGGTGGCCATAAATACACATCTTTACTGAGTCCTCAGGCCAACCCTATCGCCTACACACACACAAAGGCCGTACCCTGAGGCGATCACAACACAGTCACACATCAACACTAACGTACAGTAGCTATACAGTAACATCCATGTCAGACGGTTTCATCGACGTCTAACTTTCAGACACGAAAACAAAAACATACTCACAGTCAATTCTCACTAGTTGCTAGTCTGTTAAACCATAGATAACCATAGATGTGTAGCATAGATATTAAATGATCATTGATGGAGATCACTCAAAATAAGTGCTATGGAAGCTTCATGAGTGAAAGGTGTATGTAAAGACAGGTCTGAATGGTAGAGGGTTAGGGAGCCTATATAGGAGAAAGGGGCTAACTGAAGGGATCAGTTGAGGCTCCAGCCCCAGTAGGCTGAATGTGATCCTCCCATAGGGACCTTAGCTCTTTATCTGCAGGCCATGATTGGGGCACACAGGGGTTAAACTATAGGAGTCACTATAGACAGCCATTGTGCTCAACTTCAGCTTCCTATAGCTTTTGTCTCTTTCAGTCATGTTTCAAATGGGAATCAGGGCTAGAAATGTCGTGGAGACATTATTTGACAGGTAAAGTGATACGTAGGTGACTAGAGTGCTTTCAACCACTTAGAAGAGAGAAGGGGATATAATAATAAAAAATACAATACTTTTTGAGAGAACAGGAAAAACAATACGTTTGGTGATTTAGCAATAATATGCAATAGCTATAACAATATCTGACAATATCTAAGATGAACAAGTACCCACTTCTATAGCGTCTCTAACTCACTCTCCTACTCACGTCCCGTCCTCCCTCCCTCCCTCCCTCCCTCCCTCCCTCCCTCCCTCCCTCCCTCCCTCCCTCCCTCCCTCAGTGTGGTGAAGGATACGGTGCTGCCTGAGTATGGTGAGATGTCGTTCATGTCGCTCATGTCTCCACACTCTGACTTGATGAGGGACAGGGAGAGCCCCTCTGCGGTGCTCCCGGGGTGGGTGGGAGATAGCGACCGGTGGTGGTGCCCCATGTGGTGCCCCGAAGACATCTTGGTCCGCAGGCTGGTGGTTTCCCTGGACAGGTCCATGGAGTCTGGGGTGGAGTGGTCCTTCCCTGGGTATCCCCCAGAGGGTGGGCCCAGGGGGCTTGGGAAGGGGTAGCCCATGAGAGGCAGGGGGAAGGGGTGGCGGAAAGAAGGGGGGCTGAAGCCCATGGAGGCAGAGAGGGAGGAGGGGTGCAGGGAGGGGTGGTGGTGGCCCCCGTGGGCGCCCACAGCTGAGGACTGGTGATGGTGCTCTGTCGGAGTCTTCCTCACCACTAGGGGCAGTGCCTCTGTCTGGTCGTTGGCGCCAGGCATGGGCATGCCACCAAACGAGTCCAGGGGGTTGGGAATGATGACGTCACCAAAGCACTGCAGGCGCTGGTTAGCTGTGTGGAAGTTAGGGCCCTCACCGTTGACCCCAAACCTCTCTGGGGGCATGGGGAGGGGCGAGAAGACCTGGGGGGGTGCGGGGCGCGGGGGCTTGGCGAACACCTTGACCACTGTGTCCACAACCTGGTTCATGGCTGAGTTGAGCTCCTGTTTCAGCGTCTCAGCCAGCTGCTTGCCCTCCGCATGGTGCATGGAGGAGGAGGGACCCTGACCAGGACCTTTCCCCCGGACCAGCCCCTCTCTCCTGGGCTTGTCCCCCTCCGCCAGCAGGGCCTGCTCCTGGAGCAATGCCCTGGCCCGGTCCAGGAAGTGTCCTGGGTCCAGGTCTGACATCTCGTTGTCAGAGCGGTCTGCTCGGTCGTCTCCGCCGGCATCGGACCTCCCGGCGCTGTCCTCAGACATGTTGCCCAGGTCGTGAGCCAGGTCGTGCTCAGAGTCGTCAGTGGAATCATAGATCTGGAAGAACTTCTCCTGCAGCTGGCGCAGCTGCTTCTGCATGTCTTCCAGCTGCAGCTTCAGCTGCCTGCGCTCCTCTTGCTTCTGCTCTTTACGCTGGCACACCAGCTGGGTGAAGCTCTGTTGCTGCTGCTGGGGAAGGCGCTGCTTCCTCTTGTTCTCTCTGCTGCACACCTCTCCCCTGGGGCTAGGCGGCTGTGGGGGGCAGTCCATCTCCATCTCCCTGTCCCCGTCCATCTCTCGCTCCCTCTCCCGTTCACGTTGTTCCCGTTCACGGTCCCGCTCTCCGAGGTGGCGTGCGGGCACCAACACGCTGGGCGAGTGGCTCATGCCCCGGATGATGTTCTCCACGCGGGCACGCTTGGCCCGGAGGTGCTCATCGTTGAGGCGCTCCAGGTCGAAGGCGCCCAGAGCCGAAGGGCGGCCGAAGGGGGACAGGCACTCTTGGGGGCTGTCCTGAGACGAGTTACTGCAGGCGTCCTCCTGGGGGGCTTCGGAACCCCCACTGGAGAGGCCCGACCCGGGGAATCCCCCGTCTCTTCTCTCTCCTCTCTCCCCCCTCTCCCCTCTCTCCCCCCTCTCCCCTCTCTCTCCTCTCTCCCCTCTCTCTCCTCCATTCTTGGCCATGTTGCTCTTGAGGAGCTGGGAGATGATGGTGGCACCAGGGAAGGGCATCATGGCGTCTTCGTACGAGTTGGCTCTCTTTAGGAGCTTCCGGAGCACGTTGGACTTGGAGTCGTTATCGGTTGCTGTGACGACCCCAGTGGGGCCGTGTGGCTGCACCATGGAACAGTCCATGGAGTCTGCGTCGGAGCCGTGGTGGTGGGAGTTGAGAGAGTTCATGGCACTGAAGATGGCTGCTTTGGCGCAGGCGATGTCGGTGCTGGTTGTAGCTGCTGCTGTGTTGGTGGCGTTGCTGCCCACGGTCCTCTTCACACCGATGTCCACTCGTCTTCTCTTGGTCTGTCTGCTCAGGAGGGAGTCGCTGTCATGGTCCGGCATCACGGGCTGCTGCTATTGGGCCATATCCCACAAAGCCACTCCTCTAGGACCGCTGCTGCTATTGGACCATATCCCACAAAGCCACTCCTCTAGGACCGCTGCTGAATGACACCTGGCAGAAAGAAAACAGAAAGGAAACATTTCTTGATTCATTGAAGGGGATGGATCATTTACTTTAAAATGTCACAATATTGTCTGATATCAAAACATGAAATATCTTTTCTAATTAAAATTTTACATTTAAAAAGTCTTAATATCCCTACTTCCAAAGAATGTTAGAGATAATCAAATAGCAGTGCTGCAGAGAGTAACATCACTCCACTGTATAAAAATGTACCAGCGATACGGTTTTATCTCAAGACTGTAGATGCAATACCTGAGGACAGACAGCACCGACCATCGACTACATGATTCCATTTAGACAACATAACTAATGACAGTAGGGAGAGGAGAGAGCAGAAGGCAGGAGCGATGGGGTCAGAACTAGGCCTTGTCTTTGCATTCCAGGGCAAAGTCCTAACGTTCCTCTGAATCACACCCTATCCCCTGTATAGTGCACTACTTTTCACCAGGGCCCATAGGGCTCTGGTCAAAAGTAGTGCACTATATAGGGCATAGGGTGCCATTTCAGACACATCCTACATTTTCCCCTGTCTGTCCCCTGTTCCACGCTGCCTGCCTGTGTAACACTGAACCAGTTCCCACGCAACAAAAAGCTGCATAACATTATGATAATTATTTAAGTACTTGTCCTCATTTCCATGTTTGTGCGCTTCAAGCCGACACAGAAAACCATTAACTCATAGACTAAAGAGAAAGGCTGAGGTTGGATTAAGAATACCATAAAGACACAGTAAACTGTTTCTGATTTATTTATAATCTCCTCTCCTAAAGTCATCAGTATGTCATTTACATTTCATGCTACATGTTTTTACTTTAGATTAGAAGACACTCATATCCAAAGCAATTAATTAAGTGTATGTAGTACAATAAGTATATTCATCCAAACCACATATCACCCCCATTTCAAGTGTTACAGTACTTTTATCATTTTAAGTGCCATAAACATAAAGCCTAATTCCAGACCGCTTCTTAAATTGCACCCTGATCCAATCCACACACTCGCACTGTCAGCTATTCTGGAGGGGAGTTTCTTCCAGCCAAATCAATCAGAATATCAAAATCTTAAATGAAACAATAACAGAAAAACGACATAAATACAGATAAATAAGCCTATTGATTTTGTGCCGGTAGGGGCTCACTTCTATGGCTTTTTGCTTGTCTTTTCATCTAGCAAAGCTGGTTAATTCTGCTCTAATGAACGGGTCACATGGGTCAACTCTGCCAAGGAGCAACTTAAAGCGCTCTAACAAAAACCTAATGCCTTTATGAAAGGAAACATTTTGTCACAATCCAGACAGCATCAGCACTGCTATGTAAGCATCGGCTGACGGCTACGCATGCAGTCTTTTGTCAGTGGTGTGGGACTTCTATTCAGTGTATTTACAGAATTAATTAACATTCACTGTCAATAGAGAAAAAAATTATAACTTTCATGTGAAATGTAATAATTATTTTATGATATTATTTCACATTCCTCATCTCAACTATTGAGTACCTGTATAGACGATATCGTGTAAGATAACAAGACTGCTTCCTGGAGAGTCCTTTTTCTCAAACCCGGATCCTATCAGGAACGCTAAAGTAAAGCCTTATTAAGTGAAACAGCGGTGAGACAATCTAATAGGAAATCTATATTAATAACACATACGTATAGGGTGAATAGGGTTTTCTAAGGTTGAAAATTGTGTTAGCTCTTACTAGAGAACATTCATTCAAATCTATACGTTCATTAAAATCTGTCAAATACTATTTAAGATTTTAGTACAAGCACAATCAAATTGACAATGCAAATAGACTGTCACTTATCAGATGACACGTCAACACATATTTTGAGAGACAAAGTAATTTTTTTCAACAAATGTTTAGGTCTTCTCATACCACTCAGATATGGCTATAGAAAATGGGGCCACAGGAAAAGTGTGACAGTCTGACCATTTCATCTATAAAGTAACCCATTCTTTATCGTCACTTGGGACTCTATATGAATCACCTATAGTATATGACAATTTCATTGATACCATAATAACTTAACCATGCATAACAAGCATCACTTTCTTTTCTAATACACACATACACATACACACATAAGCACACACACGCACGGACACACACACACATACACACCACTTTAAATGGAAACTGTTTGAGATAGTCTTATTACTGTGTTATTTAGCAATACAAGAAAAACAAGCAGTAAGATGGACTAACATGTTGAAATACAAAAATATATCAAATTAGCACATCATTGCTGTAACTCAAAGAAAAAGAAACAAGGTTGGGAAAGCTTGACATATTTTGTGGCAAAACAAAAGGAAATATATTACACAGACTAAGCACATTTTGGTCTATAATAAAACCATGTCTTTGTCTGACTCTGATAAATGGCTCTGGCTCAACTCTCTCCAGCCATCCATCTCCATAAGTGCAAACAAGGGTGATATACTGTATCTCCAAGAAAACCTTGACTTAAGCGCCACAAGACCATAACAATGGGCTATGTCGTATCGCTCAAAATAGAGCCGCCAGCACCTGTCTTTTCCGACGGCGCACCTGTCCCCCATTGCCCATGCGCAGTCTATCACTTGGAAGACCTTTCAACAATTTCAAGGAAATATGACCGCAGTTGAACAATGAGCTACGCTCGTCTCTCGAGCCCTTTTAATTCCCCCTCGCTCCTTTTCCCAGGATCTTTCAAACTCTGAGTGAGAACAGGGCACGGTGAATGACAAAACTAAACTAAAAGAAAAGTTCATAACCCCTTTGAATTTGTAACATAGCAAAGTAACCTATTCAAGCAAGTCTAGGACTGAAATGTTTAAATATGACAACAATATGGCCTGCTAGAAATGGTGAGAACGGGGTGACTGGTGTTGTGCGCCTCTGTGCCAGATATCCCTGTTGTCTCCATAGTGTGCACTTGGGAAGTTTTTTCCCCCGTCAACATTTGACCGTTCTTGGCACTACCATAAACTCAAGCAGCGAGCGCACCCCAATAAATTATACCAGGGAAACAGTATACGCACCTATTAGACTGAAACATGTATACAGGCTACAATTCAAAGAGTAGATCACATCTAGCCTATCTGATATGTTATATCTCAGATATTAAAAACGATAAAGCCAAGCTTGTTTACATCGAAACGACTCGTAAATTCCTACTAAATAACACTGGACGAATAAGAATAGAGACATGAAAGAAAAACGTTTATCGGGACAAAGACCATATGCCAACGAAAAAGACTGAAGGTGTAGCCCACACAGATGAAAAGATAACAGACTTCAGCCTTCGATCAAATCAAACCAACTCAGACAGCCTTGAGCGTCTTTATATGCCATAAAAACATGTATTCAAAATTGACCAAACTTTAAAAGACAGTAACTTACTTTTAAAAGTTATAAATGATCTGTCTGCCAGCGATTTAGAAGGATAAATTCATCTGCACATCACCTTCATAAAAAGTACGCAACTTTGTCACACTTTAAGTGAAAGAAAAACAATTCAGTCAAATAATATCGTAAAGGTAACGATGTCTTTCATCAGAATATATTCCGCTGTTTATCGTTTTGATTTGTTTAGTTTTTTCCGCCCACCGAGCGCACGCGACGCAAAAGAACAAGAGGGAGGTATCTGAGGACAAGGTTACTTACCCCGCAGATGAAGAGAAAAGCGAGCTCCTTTAACCGCTGAAAGAGAATACGGAGTCTTCCCCCGAGAGACGTTGAATATTATAATTACTCAGGGAAGGAAGAGCAGGAGTAAAGTAAGTATTAAGCGTGCGCGTGGAATAGAACAAATATATAAAAGAGCTATTTTCCGCCGCTCTCCTCTATCCTCTCCTCTCGAGACTGAAAGACTGTGGTGGTGATGTCGTAGCAGCTTGTGTGAGCGTGTGTCTCCGAGGCGCACGCGATGCAGAGCTTTGATGCTCGAGCTCTCCTCCACCAACAAGATTCACTTTAAGACACAGCTGAAGGAAACAGGAAGACGGCGCGTCATAAGCTTGGTGATGTAACGGTTCGCACCTACCAATAAGAACTGTCCATCGGGTCCGGGAGGAGTACAATGCACTAAACTTGACCGAGGAATGGAACTTCGACAGGCAAAAAAACCCTCTTACTTATCACTTTCTTTACAAATCAGTGAGTGAATATGTAAGAACATGTAATTTTGAAGAAGCTTATCGTTTTGTGATTCTGTCAATAATGTTTTGCATAAACATTCATGTTATGCACATATTGTTGTGCACATATGATAATAGTTTATATTTTAAGACACTAAATTAAGATTTTATATGTCACGAATACGTGTTTATGTCATTTGAACTAATGTAAAACGCTATCCATTAAAACCCACATTCCTCACTCATTTTACGTAACAACTATTCATTTAGATTTTTTCCCCAAGTTTGCCATTCAATAAGAGATTCCATTGTCATATCTCAATTGGGCTTATTGAGTTTGTATGGCTGTTTTGTGCATCATTATCCTTGTAATAACGATAAGATATTAACTTTGGCGTGTCATTTATAAGGCTATTCTTTATTGGATAAGTGCGTCTCTTGAGGCCAGGGGTTTAACATGGCATTGGGCGCGAGGGGCATGGTGTAGATATATCACTACCATCGTTTGATTTACCGACCACAGAGCAATATGCTAAGGTTTGACTACATTATATCATGGAATGTCAAACCGTATGTGATTATTAGGTTACTGATAACACGGGCTGGAGCCATCTCAAATACGAGTTTGTGTTAGGCCTAACTTTTATTTCATTCACAGGTCACAGAGTGAGACTAATTTCAACAAAATTCCATCTCTCTTTTTCACTGCATATTAATACTATATTTATAACTAAGCAAATATCAGTCTGTGTCGTT